TGTGGCTTAAGTGGTAGAGTGCGAGCCTTGAGCTGAAGAGCTGAGGGACAGTGCCCAGGCCCAGAGTTCAAGCCCCATGACAAAGAAAGAAAGAAAGAAAGGAAGAAAGAAAGAAAGAGAAGGAAGAATGAAAGGGAGAAAAGAAAAGAAGCCAGGTGCAAATGGTTCACATCTGTAATCCTAGTTACTCAGGAGGCTGAGATGTGAGAATCGACGTTCAAAGCCAACCTGGGCAGGAAAGTTTATCTCCAATTAACCACCAGGAAACCAGAAGTGGCACTGTGGCTCAGAGTGGTACAGTACTAGCCTTGAGCAAAGGAGCTCAGGGACAGTTACCAGGCCCTGAGTTCAAGCCCCATGGTTGACCAAAAAAGACAGGAAGAAAGGAAAGAGAGAGAGAGAGAGAGGAAGAAAAGAAAAGAAAAAAGTCTGGCACTGGTGGCTCATGCCTGTAATTTTAGATACTCAAGAGGCTGAAATCTGAGGATCGTGGTTCAAAGTCAATTGGGGCCGGAAAATCCATGAGACTCTTATCTCCAATTAGCCACCAGAAAATTGGTGCTATGGCTCAAAGTGATGAGTGCTAGCCTTGAGGAAAAGAACTCAGGGACAGTGACCAGGCCCCAGTTCATACCCCATGACCAATGAGGGGGGGGAGGGAGGAAGAAAGGAAGGAAGGAAGGAAGGAAGGAAGGAAGGAAGAAAGGAAGGAAGGAAGGAAGGAAGGAAGGAAGGAAGGAAAGAGAAAAAACCCTACTGTTTGGACCTAACAGAATATGCACAATATAGTAGACAAAAAGGGGAAATGAGAGGGCACTGTCAGCACACTGAGGCTGACAGTGTCCCTTCCATCTCTGCTGCTGAAAGCCTTGACTTTGCTTTTGATCTGTGTGCCTCTCTCTCCAGTGTCGCTCTTCCCAGGGGCACCGCAGAGGTCCCTGCTGGTGTGTGGATCGGATGGGCCAGCCCTTACCAGCGTCTTCAGATGGTGATGGAAGCTTCCTCTGCCCCACTGGGAACAGTGGCTAAAGCTCAATAGGGAGCTGGCAGGGGCATGGCATCATCATCTCAAAAAACCCACCAGCCAGCTCTCTCATTATCTCCATCATCCTTGGGCCCTTATATATCTATTTATATAGATAAAGATTGATGTCATCAGCATGGGGTGTTAATAAAGCTGTTTGGGGATCTCTGGCCCATGTCTCTGTGTCACTTCTCCAAGTTCTAGAGCCCTGAGACCTTTGTCTAACACCATGGTAACATTTTTCTCTCCCTCATGGAAAGTCTTCAGTCTCTCCCTCTTCATCCAGAATGAAAGGGACAGTAGTCACTGGCACGGATCTCAAGCCCTCAGGCCTCATCCTGCTAGCCACCAGAAGTTGGGGCAGGGACTGGGAAGACTGAGATCAAGGCTTCACTCAGGCTGTGACCTTGTTTCCAACACTGATCTTTGGATTTAAGGGGAGAGGAAAGATTAATAATTAATCCCCAACAGGAACTTAGCAGAGGAACTCTCAAAGCACCCTGCCATCGCCGACTTCCTACCAAAAAGGGAAGGCAAGTGTTCTCTATTGGGCTCACATCTTTGTTCCTTGGGCCAGACCCTGAACTGTGAGATACTTTATTTGTGTTTACTTAATGAGAGAGAGACTTCACATACACACACACACACAAGCTCCATTTTTCTTACAAGCCTTTAAAAGATCAGATCACTTGCCTGAAATTACACAGCTAGTCAATGATGGAAAGAGATTTGCTGGCTCATACTGGTAATCCTATCTACAAAGCTAAGAACTGAGGATGGAGATTCAAAGCCAGCCCTGGCAGAAAAGTCCATGACACTCTTATCTTCAATTAACCAGCAAAAAGCCAGAAGTGGAGTTGCGGCTTAAACCTTGAGTGAATAAGCTAAGGAAGAGCATAAGGCTCTGCATTACACACACACACACACACACACACACACACACAAAGAGGTTTGCACTCGATTCTCCCCCATGTGATTATAGCTGGCACTCTTTTCAGTGCTGAGTGTGTGTTTGGACTCCTTTCTGCCAACCTGCTAACCCAAGTGGATGTTCACGGCCCTGATGCTCAGCCACATCACCACAAGCACCAGTAACTTAGCATGGCCCCATCTGGACATTACTGTGCTCAGTAATTACACACCATCACATCTTATGGTCTCCCAGGAGCTAAAAGCACCGATCCACCAAGATGTTTCTTACTCCTCCCTGAACTTCAGCCTGCAAGGGACAAGACTAGAAGGTGCCATGTTAGGTGATAAGCCTCAGAGAGGCAAATTCCTCCTCCCAGCCTAGTGCTTAGCCCTATGCCTAGGTCAGGCCAGTAGGCACAGAGCTGGGCATCAGGGTGGTGGCCAGGTGCTAAGGGTCTGTGGCTATCCCTGGTGACTGACAGAAAGCAGAGCTTAGGGCTGAGAAGCTCTGCTGTCTGATAACCTATCACATTCTAGAGGCCCCCACCCCTCCTCCAGAAAGGACTTTAGTCCCTGGAGTTGTCATCTGAGCCAAGTGGAACAAGAGCTCTGCTGCAGGCAGGCCAGGACATAGCAGCAGCCACCTGGTGCCCACTCCAGACTCACATCATGGAGCCAAGGGGGGCCCGTTTGCGGAACCGAGAAGGGCTGGGAAGGGAGCAACCTGCTGGAGAAGGTGAGCCGCCCTCTGGGAGTGTACAAAGCTTAGGCCAGGTTGGGTTCAATTGTTGAGAAGAGTCTTGCTGTCTAACTTCAGTCCTTGCTGCTGTTGTGGGAGGCCAAGGAAAGGTGGATACTGGCTTCTTCCCTACACCACCCAGCAAAGAGGTGGAGGAGCAAAGCAATATTCAGATTAGTGGCCTTGCCTTATCTTTCCAACCCTCTAATGGAGAAGGTGAATAAGTAGTTTCCTATTCTCCGGCAAAGTCATCTGGCTCCCTCTTGCTAGTGGCCTCCTAGTCCCCTGCAAAAATAACTTCCCCTTCTACTTACCCCATCCCTGATACTAGACATGGCCTGGTTGGGGGAAGGGAGGCTGCTGAGCTTACAGGAAGCATTTCCTAGACAGAGGACACCCTTGGGTCTGCAGAACAATTAACTCTTCCCCCTTGAGTATGCCCTTTGACCTCCTCCTCCTAGGAAACACTGAGACGCACAGAGCCCCAGATTTGGTGCAATGGACCCGACATATGGAGGTGAGGGACCTCAGAGGTCAGAGGTCAGGATGGACAGGTCCTGGGGTGGCAAGAGGCAGGGGAAAGAATTGGTTTGGTGATGATTTGTTCTTGAGTTCAAAGGCCAGGTTAAGGGTTAAGATGGAGGAATTTGAAACACATCTCCAATGGACAGGGACCAAAAGTCAGTCAGTATGAAATCTTCCTGTTAGTGTGGCTAGAGGTCAGAGGGTATAAGGGTCATAGGTGACCTGGCTAGAATGTAGAATTCTGGAATTCTGACACTTTTTTTTTGTGACAGTACTGGGGCTTGAACTTACTTGGCTTTTTCAATAAAAGCTGGTTCTCTCTCTCTTTTTTTTGGAGGGGGGTCCAGTCGTGGGGCTTGAACTCTGGGCCTGGGTGCTGTCCCTCAGCTCTTCAGCTCAAGGCTAGCGCTCTGCCACTTGAGCCATAGCGCCACTTCTGGCTTTTTTCTTTTTTGCTTATGTGGTGCTGAGGAATCGAACCCAGGGCCTCAGGCATGCAAGGCAAGTGCTCTACCACTGAGCCATCTTCCCAGCCCCTAAAAGCTGGTTCTCTAGCACTTGAACCACACCTCCAGTTCTGGCTTTTTGCTGGTTAACTGGGGAGAAGTGTCAGATTTGTCTGCCCACAATGGCTTTCAATAGAGATTCTCAGATCTCAGCCTCCTAAGTAGCTAGAATTATATGTGTAAGCCAGCACCCAGCTTACTTTTGTTTTTTAATATGGAGTCTCATTGTGTTGCTCATGCTTGGTTCCAACTCACAATCATCCAGACTCAACCTTTCAAGTAGCTGGGATTACAGGTGTGTATTATCACATCTGACTTCTGCTATCATTTTGTTGTTGTTGGTGGTGGTCATGGGGCTTGAACTCTGGGCTTGAGCACTGTCCTTCAGCTTTCCAGCTCAAGGCCAGTGCTTTACCACTTGAGCCAAGTGCCACTTCTGGTTTTCTGGTGGTTTATTGGAGATAAGAGTCTCACAGACTTTCCTGCCCGGGGCTGGCTTTGAACCGTGATTCTCAGATCTCAGCCTCCTGAGTAGCTAGGATTACAAGCGTGAGCCACTGGTGCCAAGCCTGCTTCTTGATTCTTCCTGATGCTATTGGAAGCCCCAATCGATGGCTTGGGAAGCCCTGGGCAGGGCCATGGTTTCTCTCCCCCCTTCCCCTCCCCTTCTTTCTCTCAGTCCTGGGGCTTGAACTCAGAGCCTTGATGCTGCCCCTGAGCTCTTTTGCTCAAGGCTAACACCCTACCACTTGAGCCACACCTCAGCTTTCCACTTTTGGGGGTAGTTTAATTGGGGATAAAAGTCTCACAGATTTTCCTGCCCAGATCTCAGCCTCTCAAATAGCTAGGGTTACAGGCATGAGCCACTAGCATCCAACAGTTCAGTAGATGTTTGATGAATGAAAGGACAGTAGGATAGATGAAGGGACAGTGGACTCTCTTCTGTCTTTGTCCTGTAGGCTGTGAAGACTCAATTGCTGGAGCAAGCACAGGAACAGCTGGTGGAGCTGATGGATCGGGCCATGTGGGAGGCTGTGAAATCCTACCCACAAGAAGACAAAGCTCTGCCTTCCACTCCCCCAGCTTCCTCGAGCAAGTGAGTCTGAGGATCCAGAAAGCTGAGGGATAAATGCATGGCACTCTTCTGCTGTAAGATCATGAGCCATAAACATGTTCCTTTGCCAGCCTTGGCATGACCCCAACTTCAGCCTCCTCTTTTCTCTCTTTATTATGTGGTCCTCCTGGCATTGATCTCTACTTTCTGGGCCTGATCCTGACTTTTCTCTGCTCTTGCCATGGCTCTCAAGTTATTGACCTTCTACCTGGTCTTGCTCTCTTCCCCCTGGTCTTTCTCTTCTGGACCTTGACTCGGTGAACAACTGCCTCAATTCAGGACGCGTGAGTCATCCTTTGGAAAACGAAAAGTTTTCATCATACGCAAGTCTCTGCTTGAGTAAGTCAGGGGTGAGGACAAGAATGGGAGGAAGAAAAGGCTTTGGCTGAAGGTCTAGGACACCTCAGGCCCAGGTTCTAGGTGGCTTGTGGGAGGATGTGGAGTAGGCTTTGCCCTGGGTGTAGCTGTAGAAGATAAGCCACCAGAGGGAGAAGCTCAGCCACAGTGCAGCCCTTAGCTAGGAGTGCTGAATTGGCAGGCCCCGTGCCCTCATAGACAGTGCTGAGCTGGGGCACAGGCCCCTGCAGACCTCCCACCCTGATGCTCGGCCCCTTCCCTCCAGTGAGCTGATGGAGGTGCAACACTTCCGTACCATCTATCACATGTTCATCGCCGGCCTGTGTGTCTTCATCATCAGCTCTTTGGCCATCGACATCATTGACGAGGGAAGGTAGGCCCCTTCTGCCCGAGACAGGCACCCAACTCAGATCACATTCTTTGGCTTTCAGTGTTCCATCGGCCTGTGATTCTTTGATTATTGGATACTCATTAAACATGGCTTCTAATGGCCTTTCCACCTAAAATTCTCTTGGCTGAGATCTGAGGATCGAGGTTTGGAGCCAGCCTGGGCAGGAAAGTCAGAGACTCTTATTTCCAATTAGTCAACAAAAAGCCAGAAGTGGAGCTGTGGCTCAAGTGGTAGGGCGCTAGCCATGAGTAGAAACAGTTAAGAGTCAGTGCCTAGGTCCTGAGTTTAAGCCCTGGGCAGGCTTAATAAGTAAATAAATTTTTTAAAAAGGTAATTTAAAGTGCAACCACCTCTATGGCCAGATCCCAATGGGCAAGATCCTGCACTAGAAGTCCTGGGTAACAGAGGCAAGTCTTGGACACCTGCCATGATGGGGCTTTCCAAGAGTTCTCACTGAAAAGGAAGGGGTTACACTTTTGTCTACTCTTTCCTTCCCTCCACTCCAAGGCTGGGACTAGAGTTGGACCTACTGATCTTCAGCTTTGGACAGCTACCCTTGGCGCTGATAACATGGGTCCCCATGTTCCTGTCTACTTTGCTGATACCCTACCAGGCTCTGCGCCTATGGGCCAGGCCTGCAGCTGGTGGAATCTGGATGCTGGGTGCAGGCCTGGGCTGTGTGCTTCTGGCTGCCCATGTAGCACTACTCTGCCTCCTCCCAGTCCATGTGGCTGTGGAGTGCCAGCTGCCCCCTGCCTCCCGCAGTGTGCTCGTCTTTGAGCAGGTAAGCTCAGGCAGAACTTCAGGGTTGGGAGATAGAGTTTTGTTTTTGTTTCTGTTTTTTTGACTTGGTCAGAGATAGTGGGATCTACTTTAAAATTTGGGGGAAACTGGGTACTAGTGGCTCACATCTGTAATCCTAGCTACTAAGAGGCTGAAATCTGAGGATGGTGGCTAAAAACTGGACAGGTAAAAAAGTCTATGAGAGGGCTAGGAAGGTGGCTCAGTGGTAGAGTGCTTGCCTTGCATGCATGAGGCCCTGGGTTTGATTCCTCAGCACCACATAAGCAGAAAAGCCAGAAGTGGCACTGTGGCTCAAGTGGTAGAGCGCTCGCCTTGAGCTGAAGAGCTGAGGGACAGCGCCCAGGCCCAGAGTTCAAGCCCAGGACTGGCAAAAAGTCTATGAGATTCTTATTTCCAATTGTCCAGCAAAAAATCAGAAGTGGAGATGTGGTTCAAGTAGTAGAGTGCCAGCCTTGAGTGAAAAGACTAAGAGACAGCACCTAGGTCCTGAATTCAATCCCCAGTACTGGGACCAAAACACACACATACACACACACACACACACACAAAATACATATTTGGGGGAAGCTGGGTGTTGTTGAGTCACACCTATAATCCTAGCTACTCAGGAGACTGAGATCAGAGGATCATGGTTCAAGTCAGCCCAGGCAGAAAAGGCTATGAGATTTATTTTTGTTTTTATTTTATTGTGTCAGTTGTGGGGTTTGACCTCTGGGCCTAGGTGCTGTCCCTGTGCTCTTCAGCTCAAGGCCAGTGCTCTACCACTTGTGCCACAGCACCCCTTCTGGTTTTCTGGTGGTTTATTGGAGATAAGAATCTCACAGACTTTCTTGCCTGGGCTGGCTTTGAACCGTGATCCTCAGATCTCAGCCTCTTGAGTAGTTAGGATTACAGGCGTGAGCCACCGGTGCCCAGCTTGCTATGAGACTTTTTTTATTTTTATTTTTTGTCAGTAGTAAGGCTTGAACTCTGGGCCTGGATGCTGTCCCTCAGCTCTTTAGCTCAAGGCTAGCACTCTACTACTTGAGCTATAGCACCACTTCCGGTTTCCTGGTGGTTTATTGGAGATAAGAGTTCCACAGACTTTCCTGCCCGGCTGGCTTTGAACCTCGATCCTCAGATCTCAGCCTCCTGAGTAGCTAGGATTACAGGCATGAGCCACAGGCACCCGGCATATGAGACTCTTATCTACAATTAACCACCAGAAAAACCAGAAGTGGTGCTCTGGCTCAAAGTGGTAGAGCACTAGCATTGAGCAAAAAAGCTTAGGAATAGCATCCAGGCCTTGAGTTCAAGCCTCATAACCAATGAAAAAAATTTAAATAAATAAAAATAGAGGAACATATCTGATCTGGGGAAAATAAGTGAAAAGAAAAGGGGCCCTGCTATGCAATCTGACTCTACAGGGTAACAGGAGGTTGGTGGGATTAACACACACACACACACACACACACACACACACACACACACACTGCCTTTGGCTTCGCATGCCCCTCTACCCTTTTACCCAGCAGCAGTCTGTGAGGCGCTACAAAGCAATCGAAAGTACAGTGTGCTTGCTTCTCCACATAAAGGAGAGCACAGAGTTTAGGTGATTGGCTCAGAGCCACACTGCAACTTGGCCGCCCTTACATTCCATCTCAGGTGAGGTTCCTGATGAAAAGCTACTCCTTCCTGAGAGAGGTTGTGCCCGGGATCCTTTGTACAAGAGGAGGTAAGACCTTCCACTCGGCCCTCTGCATTCCCAGGCCTCAGTCCTCCAGCTGTGTTCTGAGAACTCAGTCATTAGGATTGTCAGGCCCCGCTTCTGAGAGACTGCACTCAGTTATCCAGGATTTCTGTTCCCAATGCCAACCTGAAAAGACCCAGGGATGAGAACCTTATATTAAGAAGTCAGGATAAGCTGGGTACCAGTGGCTCACACCTGTCAACCTAGCTACTCAGGAAGCTGAGATCTGAGGATTGTAGTTCAAACCCAGGCAGGAAAATCAGTGAAACTCTTATTTCCAATTAACCAACAGAAACAAGAAGTGGGGCTGTGGCTCAAAGTGGTACAGTGCTAGGTTTCAGTGAAAATGCTCAGGGACAGTGCCCAGGGCCTGAGTACAAACCCTACACACACACACACACACACACACACACACACACACACACACACACACAGGAAAGGAAAGGAAAGGAAAGGAAAGGAAAGGAGGAGAAGGAGAAGGAAAGTCATGGAACTTGTTTTTGCCCAATGAAGCGCTGGGCACAGCAGACCCCACTTTTTCAGCTTACTACCTCCCACCTCATTCAGACCCTGGATCTAGACCCTCCTCCATCTACCTCTGTCCTACCCATCTCTCCATTCACCAATCCACTACCTTCCCAAGCTGCCACTCACCACTGTCTCTGCCCTCCATTGTTTTTTTTTTTCCTCCCCAGGTAAGGGCACGGGGGTCCCCCGTTTCTCCAGCTACCTCTACTTCCTCTTTTGCCCCACCCTCATCTACAGAGAGACTTACCCCAGGTAAGACTGTGCAGCTCCTCCTCAAATGCCCAATGCTCTGGGCAGCTTCCTCCAAACCCCTGTACGTGCCACTGCTCAGTAAGCATCTCACAATAAACACCAGAAATAAGTAGAAAGGGCTGGTGCTGGTGGCTCACTCCTGCAATCCTAGATGCTCAGAGGTCTGAGGATCATGTTTGAAGCCAGCCTAGGCAGGAAAGTCCATGAAACTCTTACTTCCTATTAACCAGCAAAAAGCAGAAGTGGAACTCTGGCTCCAGTGGTAGAGTTCCAGCCTTGAGTAAAAAAGCCAAGTGAGGGAGTAGCACTGTGACACAAAATGGTTAAGCACTAGCCTTAAGAGAAAAAGTTCAGGGACTATTTAGTCCCTGAATTCAAGCCCCCCAAATGACTAAATATATAAATAGCCAAGCGATAGCTCAACAGGAGATGTATACACACAATAACAACAACAACAACAACAACTAAATAGGCTACCTTTTCCTTGCTTAGCCCATTATACACTAATGCGGATCAATTGTCCTGATGTGTCCAGTTCTGTCACAACTTTAGTACTGAGAATCTTACATATCCCAGAAAACTAGCAATGATTGGTCATCTTAGATGACAGGCTAAAAATTCACTTTCTGGGGGTGGGGAGGTGGTGGCTCAGTGGTAGAGTGCTTGCTTTGCATGCATGAGGCCCTGGGTTCAATTCCTCAGCACCACATAAGCAGAAAAAGCTGGAAGTGGTGCTGTAGCTCAAGCAGTAGATCACTAGCCTTAGCTGAAGAGCTGAGGGGCAGCACCCAGGCCCAGAGTTCAGGCCTCACAACCAACAACAACAGAAAAACAAAACAAAACAAAAAAACCTTTCTGTGTTTGCTATGGAATGTCCAAAATGTTCTAGAGATGATTGGGGCAGTGGTTCAGGTGGTAGAGTGCTTGCCTAACAAACACAAGGCTCTGAGTTCCAAATCCCAGTCCTGCCAAAACATTCTAGACCCCCTACCTCCCTAGCTAATCTACCCAGGCCTGAGCAGGAAATGACATAAAGGAATGATAATCACATCCCTGTTGCTGCTGCAGGACACCCAACATCAGGTGGAGTTATGTGGCCAAGAACTTCGCTCAGGTTAGAAGACAGGGTACAGGGTGGGCAGCTGTGACCTATGGTGTGGCTGGGGCATTCCTGGGAATGTAATGGGGAGGCCTGGGGTGGAGGCAGAGGCTGAGGCTGAGTCAATTCTGAATCGAGAGCCAGCTACCAGTGTCCCTCTTGAAGTTACCTGTCCTCTGCTTCGCCTGCAGACTCTGGGCTGTTTGCTCTATGCTTGTTTCATCCTGGGCCGTCTCTGTGTCCCTGTCTTTGCCAACATGAGCAAGGAACCCTTCAGCACCCGTGCCCTGGTGCTCTCCATCCTGCATGCCATGGTGCCAGGTAAGTTCTCCAAGGAGGTAGAAGATTGAGATAAACAGATAGATGACGTGTGTGTGTGTGTGTGTGTGTGTGTGTGTGTGTGTGTGTTAGTACGGACGAAGTACCTAGGACCTAGGTTTTATTTATTTATTTTTTGCTTAAGGCTGGCCCCTTCTAGTTGATTTTGGGGGTTTTATTTGCTAGTTAATTAAACATAGAGAGTCTTTCAGACTTTCTTGCACCTGCTGGCTTCGAACCACAATCTTCAGCTCTCAGACACCTGAGTAAGTAGGATTATAGACATGGCCACCAGTGCTTAGTTGCCTGGTACTTCTTGGTTCCAGCAGTCCTTCCAATTCAGCCTCCTGAGTAGAATTACCTCCTCACCCAGCTAAGCCACCTCCTCCTCCTCCCCCTCCCCTTTCTCCTCCTCCTCCTTCTTTTTGCCAGTCCTCAAGCTTGAACTCTAGGCCTGGGCATTGTCCCTGAGCTTTTGTGCTCAAAGCCAGAACTCTACTGCTACATGCTTGTCTTTTTTTTTTTCTTCTCTTTTTGATAATTTAGTGAAAAGTCTCACAGACTTTCCTGCCAGAGCTGGTTTTCTAACCACTACCTTCAGATCTCAGCCTCCTGAGCAGCTAGGATTATAGGCATGAGCCACCAAAACCAAGCTAAGCCTTCTTTTTATAGCCATTAATGAACCTGATCCCTCTGTACTCCCAGTGACATCAAATGGCCATATGCTTAAGTACTATTACACTGACCCTGGGTCAGGGTGATTACACCTATAATCCCAGTACAGTAAGGCTGGTGAATTGAGAGTTCTAAGCCAGTCTGGGCTACATAGCAAAACCCTGCCTCAAAAAGCAAAACAAGCTGGTAGGCCTCTAATTCTAACTACTCAGGAAGCTGATATCTGAGGCTCAGTGTTTGAAGCCAACACAGGCAAGAAAGACTGGGAGAATTTAATCTCTAATTAGCCACAAGAAGCCAACAGTGGCTCTGTTGCTCAAGGGGTAGAGATCTAGCCATGAGCACAAAAGCTGAGGGACAGTGCCCAGGCCCTGAGTTCAAGCCCCAGGACCAGCAAAACAAACAAAAACCCTACCAAAAACATTTAGTCTTAAGTCATGGTTGATGTGTGTGTGTGTGTGTGTGTGTGTGTGTGTACATGTGCAATTCACTCCGTGAACTCCCAAAGGTTAGTAAACTTGTGACTTATCTCAGTATCCCCAATGCTGGTTCAGAGTTGATGCCAAGTAAAGGCTCATAAGCAAGTGGATGAATTAACAAATGCATGAGAATATGAATGATGAATGAATGCTTGTTAAGAGTTAGGGCCTTGGTTGTTGGACAGGACCTGAGGTCAGGACCCTGCCCAGCCTCCACATGGGTGTGTCTGACCTGCAGCTTTTTCCCACCAGGCATTTTCATGCTGCTGCTCATATTCTTCGCTTTTCTGCACTGCTGGCTCAATGCCTTCGCAGAGATGTTGCGGTTTGGAGACAGAATGTTCTACCGGGTACCACTTGGACCAAGGCTAATTAGGAGCTGGAGACAGGAAGAGTTGAGGGAGGGACCATGGGGGAGATGGTGACTGTGTTAGTTGTCACCTAGCTGTGCTGTCCATCTCCACAATGAGAAATGTGGGCCTCTAATTGTGGGGATGTTGCTGACCAGCCAGGACTCACTGCTTTTGTGTGGATGGCACTTTACCATCTTCTCCTGAAGGTGTGGATAGGCAGAAGGGCAACCACTTTCCCATAGAGAGACCTAAGAGGATGCTGTTCTTTCTGTTTGGCTGGGAATAGTCCTCTGGGAAAGCAAATGGTAGATTGTAGGCCAGGAAGCAGCAAGAGAAACTGGAGCCTGGGACACTTACCGCCTTCCCCTGCCTGACTCCACTCTCCCGTCACAGGACTGGTGGAACTCGACATCCTTCTCCAACTACTACCGCACGTGGAATGTGGTGGTCCATGACTGGCTGTACAGCTACATCTATCAGGATGGGCTCTGGGTAGGGGCCTCTTCTGCTCCCACAGTTAATGGAGGCTTTCCAAAACACATTTTCCTTTTTTCCCTTTGTCTAGCCACCTTGACCAGACCTAAGGCCCCTGTTAACTTAATTTATCTTTGGCTGGCAAGTCCTCCTTACAATCTAACGTCCTTCTTTTTCTTTTCTTTTTTTTTTTGGTCAATCTTGGGGCTTGAACTCAGGGCCTGGGCACTGTCCCTGAGCTTCTTTTGCTCAAGGCTAGCACTCTATCACTTGAACCATAGTGCCACTTTCGGCTTTTTCTGTTTATGTAGTACTGAGTAATCAAACCCAGGGCTTCATGCATGCTAGGCAAGCACTCTACCACTAAGCCACATTCCCAGTTTTTTTTTTATCCTTAATTTTGGCCTTTGAAGGAGCACACGTATATACCAATTTTCAGTCATCTAGAATTTTCACATGCAAGCTGATTACCAGTGGCTCATGCCTATAATCCTAGCAACTCAGGAGGCTGAGATCTGAGGATAGAGATTCAAAGCCAGCCTGGGCAGGAAAGTTTGTGACTTTTATCTCCAATTAACCACACACAAAAAGCTGGTACCAGTGGCTCATACCTGTAAAATCCTACTCAGGAGGCTGAGATCTGAGGATTGCAATTTGAAGCCATCCAGGGCAGAAAAGTCCATGAGACTCTTATCTCTAAATATCTCCCCAAAATGTGGGAAGTGGAGCTGTGGCTAAAGTAACAGAATGCTAGCCTTCAGCATAAAAGCTCAGGGACAGTGCCCCAGGCCCTGAGTTCAAGCTCCAAGACCAGGACAAAAAATAAAGAAAAAAGCTAGAAGTGGACCTGTGGTTCAAGTGGTAGAAGATCTTTGAGTGAAAAAGCTAAGGTATAGCCGAACGCTGGTGGCTCACGCCTGTAATCCTAGCTACTCAGGAGACTGAGATCTGAGGATCGCAGTGCAAAGCCAGCCCGGGCAGGAAAGACCGTGAGACTCATATCTCCAATAAACCACCAGAAAACCGGAAGTGGCGCTGTAGCTCAAATGGTAGAGCACTCACCTTGAGCTGAAGAGCTGAGGGACAGTGCCCAGGCCCAGAGTTCAAGCCCCATGACGGACAAAAAAAAAAAAAAAAAAAGCTAAGGTATAGCCCCCAGGCCCTGAGTTCAAGCCCCAATATTAGCAAATACACACAGAGCTTTCACATATATTTAATCATCCCTGTAACCTTCAGAATTAAGGATTATCAACTGGAGGTGTGGCTCAAGTACTTGAGCAGCCATAAGTGAAAAAGCCAAGCAAGAGCATGAAACTCTAAATTTAAGTCCAGTACGTCAACGTAAGAAAAAAATGAAAAATATATTCTTGCTTTTAAATTATTACTAAGGCCCAATGGTCTAATACAGTGTTCTTAAATAAGATCAGTGTTGACAATTCTGACTCTAGACCCCACGATTTCCTTTTGTTGTTGTTTTGCCAGTCCTGAGGCTTGAACTCAGAGCCTGGGCACTGTCCCTGAGCTTCTTTTGTTCAAGGCTAGCACTCTACAGCTTGAACCACAGCATCGCTTCCAACTTTTTCTGTTTATGTGGTGCTGAGAAATCGAACCCAGGGCTTCATGCCTGCTAGGCAAGCATTCTACCACTAATCCACATTCTCAGCCCATGATTTCCTTTATATCACATCCCTTCCTGGTGAGGAGGGGGCTCTATTTTTATTTTTATTTTTTTTGGTGCCAGTCCTAGGGCTTAAACTCAGGGCCTGAGCACCGTCCTTGAACTTTGTTGCTCAAGGCTAGAACTCTACCACTTGAGTCATAGCTCCATTTTCAACCTTTTGGTGATTCATTGGAAATGAGGATCTTATGGACTTTCCTGCCCAGGCTGGCTTCAAACTTTGATCCTCAGATCTCAGCCTCTTAAGTAGCTAAGATTATAGGCATGAGCCACTGGTACTCAGCCAAGGAGGGGGCTCTTTGTGGAGGGGCTTGGGATGACTCACCCCTTCCTTCTCAACCTCCCTCCCCCCACTTGCCTTGCCAGCTCCTTGGTGGCCGGGCCCGAGGGACAGCCATGCTGGGCACGTTCCTGATCTCTGCCATGGTACATGAGTACATCTTCTGCTTCGTCCTGGGATTCTTCTACCCGGTCATGCTGATGCTCTTTCTTGGCTTTGGGGGTGAGCTTAGCATATGTTGCTGGAGGGGAGCCATCCAGAGGAGTCCTAGATCCTGCTCCTAGGCACCCCAGGAGGCCAAGGGAGCTGCTGTGCTCAAGGTTATAATGGGGAGGACTTGGCACCAGAGAGGGGGCAGCATGGGGAGGGGCAGGAGGTACTTAGTGGACATAGGGGAAGGTTTCTGATTGTAAAGGAACCTTTGAACAAGGAATGTAAAAGGACAAGGGGGAAACTGGGGTGCTAATGGGAACTGGAATACTGAGGGGTACGCTGAGGAGTCCTTAGTCACTGGAGACCTCCTTTCCACAGCTGGGTTCAAGGTTTACTCAGGAGGGCCATCAGTCCTGCTCCAATCCCCATCCCTTCCCAATACTCAGGGATGGGAGGGAAGGGAGGGAGACAAGACACTGGGATCTGAAGCTAAAGCAGTAACTTTCCAGGGCTGCTGAACTTCGCCATGAATGACCGGAACACAGGCCCAGCGTGGAATGTCCTGATGTGGACCTTGCTCTTCCTGGGCCAAGGCCTCCAAGTCAGCCTGTACTGCCAGGAGTGGTATGCACAGCGCCACTGCCCCCTGTCCCAGGTAAAGGAACAGAACCAGGGGCTGGCTTGGGGTGAGGGACTATGCTCTGCTCCCCACCCTCCTTCCCACTATTCCTTCAAGATCCATCCTTCTCTGGTACAGACGACATTCTGGGGACTGGTGACACCTCGATCTTGGTCCTGCCACCCCTAGAAGTCAGGACATCTGTACTGCTGAGATCGTCAACTCCTCTCCATTTGCAAAGCCTGGGACCTGAGACCCTTGCTGTGGTTGCATGCCCACAGCTGCACACAGCCACCCACCAGAGACTTCAGGCACCTAACCTGGGTCTATGCTCTGTGAGCAGCTGAGCACAGGAGACTCATGAGCCCCTTTCTCCATGGATTTGGCACAGGTTACTCCCCCACCCCATGGCTGTCCACACTTGGGGAGATTTGGGGGATCTTACAGATTCAGTGAGTATGGGTAGGGGAGCATGGACTCAGAAAACCCAGGGTTACCAAGACTTGAGAAGGAATTGGTTTTTGACTCTCTACTCTCAACAATAAAGTCGTGGTCTTCCTTTTTATTCATTCATAGTATTTCCTCATTTGTTTTTCATTGTTTGAAGCCACTTTGTGACAAGCGCTGCTGATGAGCTGTGGTCTATATGCCCAGGCAAGATGTCGGTAGTTGGAGAGGCTATGAATCCAGGTGGGATCCTGCCTTGTCCACCTGGCCTTTCTATGCCCTCTCCTTCAAGCTTGACCTTAACTCCTTTTACCTCTACTCTTTCTCCAGCTCATGTCCACATCCTGTTAATTCTGCTTCTTAAGAAGCCTCTACTAGGGCTGGGAAGGTGGCTCAGTGGTAGAGTGCTTGCCTTGTATGCATGAGGCCCTGGCTTCGATTCCCCAGCACCACATAAGCAAAAAGAAAAAAGCCGGAAGTGGCGCTG